ACATAGGATCAGAGCTGGGCTGGGATTAAGAGTGCTGCATCCCATCCTTAATCCTTTTAATGGTTTATTACATTAGATCACCTCATGGGGGATCATCACATAACTGCTATATTACATAGTTACATAATTGACAAACCACAGAAAATCATTTCCAAGACAAGTTGATGTGTATTTATTTGGTTGGCTGGGTAGGGTAAACAGGAGTGTGTGTGTGTGTGTGTGTGTGTGTGTGGTGTGTATAGACACAATTCAATCCATGAATTAGTATTACTGTACATAAATTTAGATTTGTGAGCACAGGTGGACCCAGTATATATATAAGTGCCAGTAGGGAAAGCACACCAAGGGGAAAAAAATGTAGAAAGATCAGTTTTGATGAGTGAATTTAGAACTTTGCAATAATCTATCTAGAAAGAAGCTATTTAAATTTCAAAATACATGCAGGCTTTTAAATTTTCACTTAGCACGCATAGCTGTTTACATGTTGAATTACATATAGTTGGGGGATAGGGTACATGGTAATGTTCCTGTGCCCACATCCCTGGAAAGCTTCTCTGAACCCTGTTGAGAAGAATGAACGAAACACTATATGGTGAGTGTTCTGCCCAGTGCACACAGCCATCCAATCAAAACTGCTGACATGATTGTAACTCATAAAGTCACTGTAGGACAGAGTGGAACTACCCTATAGGGTTTGCAAGGCTGTAATATTTACAGAAGCAGACTGCCACATCTTTCTCTCTCAGCGTGGCTAATGGGTTCATACTGCTCACCTTTCAGTTAGCAACTGATCACTCCACCACTGTTCCACCAGGGTTCCACAACACACAGCAAAGGTTCTGCAAATGTCCTTTTCATCATTATTAAAAGCCATGTTTGGTCTTAGGTACTCCACTTGAGAGACATGTTAGAATGTGAATAGGGTGACCATATAACAACATTCAAACTGAGACAATACTTACAGTGTAAGAAATCACTACTATCATTAAACAGCAATGATAGGCATAAATGGAAACGATCTCTCAGGCAAGCCAGGATATGTGGTTTCTACAGCTACAAGCCCCAGGACCTACTGTCCAGGAATTGACCAGACAATGAAGAGTTGTTGGATGTCATCAAGTTGTTGGGTGTCATCTGACTCATCCAAAACCCCAGACCTACTGCAGTCAATCTAGACTCATAGATATCCTACAAGACAGAGTAGAACTGTCATATATTTGCCTGAGAAGCAGCTAGTGGGTTTGAACCCTTAACCTCTCAGTTATTAACCATGTACTTAATCACTCTGCAACCAGTAACTCTATATGACAGAATAGAAGTGTTCAACAGGGTTTTCTAGGCTGTAATCTGTATGGGAGCAGATCACCAGGTCTTTTCTCCCATGGAGCCACCGATGGATTTGAACAGCTGACCTTTCAGATAGCAGTTGAGCTCTTTAACCCCTGCACCAACAGGACTCCGGAAGAGTAGTTGTTGTTGCTAAGTGCCATGGCATTTGTTCCAACTCATAGCAACCTTGTATAGGGTTTCTGAGTAGCGACTGGTGGGTTTGAACCACCGATGTTTCCATTAGTAGTCCAGTGTTTATCCTACAGCAACACACCAGGACCCTAGAAGAGTCATTAGCAAACCCCATTACCTCCAAATTTTGTTCAAAGTTTCTACAAGGCATGGACAGGAATCTACTTGCATAGCGACAGGGTTTTGTTGTTGTTGTTTGCTTACAACTGAAACCAAAGTTTTCCATAATAAAGGATCTTAGTTTGAATATGAGAATTCATTATAGTAGACTTTTCTTTGCAAAGCTCCTGTGCAAGTTAGGGGGATACTGTTCAGCATGATGCAACAGTGAAATTCTCCCTTCTAGGAAGAAAATACTTTCATTCTAAATTACAATGTCAGAGGCAGAGGAAAGCCAATTAATTTCAGACTCCACTAACCTGAAATTTATATTAACTTGGACAGAAGCTGGGACTGATAATCTTTTTTGCATTAGCTATTGCAGGATCTAACTGTTTCCTTCTGTTGTGCATAGGGTTGCTATGAGTCAGAACTGACTCAATGGCACCTAACAACAATGGGGTAATGAATTTGTAAAGACGCTTTTGCTGTCCATATGCATGAAATGGGGCTAGATGTGAAATTTAAAAGGTGGTAATAATGTTGTTGTTGTGTACCATTCATTCATCTCCAACTCACAGTGACCCCATGTGTATATAACATGTTGGTTGATAACTTTCTCTAATCCCAATGCCCTATTCTTCTTCATATAGTCCAGCTTCTCATATTATTTATTCAGCAAACAGATTGAATAAACATGGTGAAAGAATACAACTCTGACACATAACTTTCTTAATTTTAAACCATGCAGTATCCCTTTGTTTTGTATGAACAACTGTCTCTTGTTCTATGTATATATTCTTTATGAGAAATTAAGCATTCTAGAATTTCCATTCTTCTCAAAGTTGTACATAATTTATTATGATGTACACAGTTGAATGTCTTTATATAGCCAATAAAACACAAGTAATCATTTTTCTGGTATTCTTTGCTTTCAGCCAAGTTCCATCTGACTTCAGCAATCATATCCCTGGTTTCACATCCTCTTCTGAATTCAGCTAGAATTTCTGGAAGCTCTCTGTTGATGTACTGCTGCAACTGTTGAATTATCTTCAGCAAAATTTTGCTTGCCTGTGATATTAATAATATTGTTTGGTAGTTTCCACATTCCGTAGGGTAACTTATCTTTGGAATTGGCATAAATATAGATTTCTTGCAGTTGGTTGGTCAAGTAGCTGTCTTCCAAATTTCCTTCATGGACTAGTGAGTGCTTCCAGCAGTGCACCAGTTTACTGAACCATTTTAACTGGTATTCTATAAATTCTGGGAGCCCTGTTTTTCACTAGTGTCTTCAGTGCAGTTTAAATTTTTTCCTTCAATACCACTGGTTCTTGATCGTATGCTATCTCTTGAAATGATTGACTAAATTTTTGGTACAGTGAAGGTCTGCGTTCCTTCCATCTTCTTTTTTTTCTTTATTAACATTTTAAAACTTGATTTAAGGAAGATACAGACTGATTACACATTTGACAAACTGCAAGGATAATTTCTGATTGCAGGAAAAACACAACCAGACATGCAGAGAAGCAGAATTCTTCTTCCTGTAGGGCTGGTTTTATGATACATTTGGACCATACAACTGGGTTCTCTCTCAAGGTATAATGTAAATGCCTATGTTTTATTGTCCTTTACAGACAACTTCTCATTTACTCATCAAGCATGTCAGCTGCACTTGTAGCCCCTTCAATGAGCACAGTTCTCTGAAGGGGAAAAACTTGTCCAATTCATCAGTGCACACCGGACAGACCAGGAATGCGACCGAGGACCAGACACTCTGACCTCCATGTGCTCAATTCTTCAGTTCCTAGCTAGGCGATCAGAAAATTTCTTAGTTAGTGAACAGCAAATTGACTTGCTGGTTAAATGATCGATTATTGCACTGCCAAACCATAGTATAGAAAATGGGTAATTCACTCAAAACTGGCTTCCAGATTTTAAAAATGTTGTGATCTTTAAATTAAATGATTACTAAGCACCTATTATAACTTCTATAACTGTGAAGCTAGCATTACTTATATTGGACCAGCTATACAAAACTCAAGTTTTCTTTTGAAAAAGAGCAGCAGAAATCCCAGAGAACAAAAAGGAGACGACAAAGTGAATGTCATGTTTACGGACCCAGCACCAAAATCCAGGTCTCCCAAGCAGCAGAAAGAAGGATGGGAGAAGAAAGGATGTGGGAACAGTATGGGTAACTCATAACTGATGCCCCATTTTTGCTCTAAGGCAGGGATGGGGAAACTTTTTTCTGCCAGGCAATTTGAATATTTATAACATCATTCTCTTTTTGAAAATTTTAAACTTAAAAATTAGTCTGCTATATTTGGTCCAACATTTAATTAACTCATCCCTAATGTGATGGCTGGAAATGCTTCTCTTTGATGAGGCGTTTGATGTTAGCTGGTATTGATGATGTTGCTACTCACAACTGTTTTTCCAGGTTTGCATTGGTGCAGTCGACTCTTTATGATGTTAAGTTTTGAAAAGAACTGCTTACAGCAGTAAGTTGTTCCGAACATGGATGCATATTTCAATGCATGTCTCCTCAAAGTGGGAAACTCATCACTGCTTATGTAACGTTTATAGAACATCAGCAGTGGGAGGTTATAATACCTTTCAGCTCATAATTGCTTTGCAGGTGAATGAGTTTGTGTTGTAGGTTACCAGGGATATCGGCTGGTTCCATATTAAACGGTGTAGCAAATATGTTCAATTCTATTTGTTTACTTTTCATGTCCTTGAATCTTTCATTAAATGCCTCAATTAGTTTCGCACACTCATCAAGCATATTCAAGTGTGGTACAAGGCTTTTGCCCTTCTAGAGTGGGGAAATGCACTGTGTTCTTTCTTTCAAGTTGCACTTTCCACAGCCTTAACTTAGTTTCAAATGATTTCAAATTTGGAAGCAGGGAGCTGACAAGCTGGTTAGAGCTTGACAAGCTGGTTGACAAGCTGATGAGCTGGTTGAGCTCTGAGTGGTACTCAGTAATGTCCACCATGAAAGCGCGATCACACAACCACTTGCTATAATCAAGCTCCTTGACAAGTTCTGTCTATCCCGTAATGGACATTCCTTGCTTGTCCTCCAAAATTTACATAATTATTATGATCCACTTAATACAAATTTGCTATGGAAAAAACTCCTAGATTTATTGAATTTTTTGCCCTGCCTCCAGTTGCCTTGGCCAGGCCAGACCAAATGATCTCAAGGGCCTATACAGCCTGTGGGTCAGACATTCCCCACCTCTGCTCTAAAGGAACTCAGGGTCTAGCCCAGAGGAGCACAGTGTTGCTGTGATGAATACTGGAGCATTTGGTTCGAAGGTGCTATGGCCCTCCAGGGAAGTCCGGTCAGTGTATCCTGGGCAGCTGAAGTCACCTTAAGAGCTAGGCAGCTTCTTCTTGGCATTCAGGTCTTTCTTCATTTCTTCCAGCTTTTTGGCCAAGTTTGGTATGTTGTGGTTCTGAGCCAGATACATTCCAACGATATTTCCAAAAGTAAATTCAAGAAAGAACTGGAGTGTGATGTCAGCAGGGAGGGAGAGAAGGTGAGAGGCAAGGAGGAGAGAAGGTAGGCTGCAGCTGCTAAGCCGGTTGGAGCCTGCCTCCCTGGTGCAAGGGGTGAAATCCGCTGTCTCCTTCCATCTTCTTTTGATCCTTCCTGTATTGTTCAATATCTTGTCCATAGAATACTTCAATATTGCAAGTTGAGATTTAGATTTAATGGTTCAAACCCACTAGTTGGTCCTCAGACACACTCTACAGGGTTGCTCTGAGTCAGAACCAACTCAGTGGCACTTAATAGCAGCAGCAATAATAGCCAGTGTTTTTTTGAGTGCTAGTGTGGTGATGTAGGCTAAGTATTGCGGTTAAAGCATACCAGGGAACATTATAATGAGTCACTATGAGTTGGAACCGACTCGACAACACTTAAAAATAATTATGTCTCAGGACCTGGGCCTAACTTAACACATATATTCATTTATCTAATTCTCACTTCAGTCCCATGGGGTAGGTACAGGCATATTGCCCCCATTTCCAGAGATGGAAACTGAGGTATAGAAAGGTTAAGTATCAGAGTTACCTAAATAATGCAGAAGAAAAAAAACAAATTTTACCTGGACACATGTCCAAGGATAGTACAATTTGTACTTGAATACTAACCTACAGGTGGGCAGTTTGAAGCCAGTGGCAGCATGGAAGAAAGGGCTGGCAATCTGCTTCCATAAAAATTACAGCCAAGAAAACCCTGTGGAATCATTCTTGATGCCAGTGTGTTTGGTTTGTTTTTTGGTACAGTTAGTAGCATAGTGGTTATGAATCAGGCTGCGAACTGCAAGGTCAGCAGTTTGAAACTACCAGCTGTTCCACAGGAGAAAGATGAGGCTTTCTGCTCCTGTAAAGATTTATAGCCTTGGAAACCCTGTAAAGGGTCACTATGAGTCAGAACCAACTCCACAGCACATAAGCTAACCTAACATAACCTAACCTAACCTAAGCTTATATTATAATTATACATTTTCACTTTTGTCTTCTCACGATCTGTGAATTCCTTGTAGTTTCCAGTCAGTGTTTCGTTCTATTGTACATTGAGTCTCTATGAGTCAAAACCAAATTGAATGCACCACAACAGCATATGCACAACTATCACATTGGATGTCAAACTTACGACCTGGGATGCATACCAGTATTCATTAATTCATCGATTGGTTTGTTGTTATTGTTACGTACCATCGAGTAGGTATCAACTCATAGCAACCCTATGCTTAACAGAGCAAAACACTACCCAGTCGCTGCTAACCTCACAATTGTTATGCCTGAGCCCATTGCTGCCTTCACTTTGCCAATCTGTCTCACTGGGGGTCTTCCTCTTTTTCTCCGACCCTCCACTTGACCAGCATGATATCCTTCTCCAGGGACTGTCCCTCCTGGTAATATGTCCAAAGTATGAGAGATGAACTCTGTTTATCTTGGCCTCCAAGGAGCACTCTGGTTGTACTTCTTCCAACACTGATCTGTTTGTTATTTTGGTGATCTATGATACTTTTAATATTCTCCTACAACACCATAATTCAAATACATCAATTATTCTATGGTCTTCCTAATTCACTGTCCAACTTTCACATGCATATGTGGTTATTGAAAATACCACGGCTTGGGCCATGGGCACATTAGGCCTCAAACTCACATCTTTGTTCTTCAACACTTTTAAGATATATTGTGCAGCAGATTTCCCTAATGCAATACGTAATTTGATTTCTTGACTTCAGCTTCCATGAGTGTTGATAGTTGAGCCGAGCAAAATGAAGTCAATCTTTTCTCCATTTATTCGGATGTTGTTTTTCATTCCAGCGGTGAGGATTGCTGTTTTCTTTACATTGAAGTGTAACCCATACTAAAGGCTGTGGTCTTTGACCTTCATTACTAAGTATTTTAAGTCCTCTTCTCTTTCAGCAAGCAAGGTTGTATCATCTGCATATTGCAGATAGTTAATTAGTCTTTCTCCAATCCTGATGTCAGGTTTTTCTTCATTTAATCCAGCTTCTTGAATTATTTGTTCAGCTACAGATTGAATAAACATGGTGAAAGAATACAAACTTGGTGCACATCTTTTGTAATTTTAAATCATTTGGTGTTCTGTTCAGTTTGAACAACTGCTTCTTGGTATATGTATAGTTTCCTCATAAGCACAGTTAAGTGTTTCAGAATATTCATTCTCCTCAATGTTGTCCATAGCTTGTAATGATCCACACAATCAAAATTCTTTGCATAGTCAATAAAGTACAGGTAAGCATCTTTCTGGTACTCTCTGCTTTCAGCCAAGATCCATCTGACATCAGCAATTATATCCCTTATTCCACGTCCTCTTCTGAAACCGGCTTGAACCTCTGGAAGTTCTCTGTCAACATATGGTTGCAGCCTTTTTGTATTATATTTAACAAAATTTTACTTGCATGTGAAATTAATGATATTGTCCAGTAATTTCTGCATTCCACTGGGTCACTGCTTTTTGGAATGTGCACAAATACGCATCTTTTCCAGTCAGTTTATCAGTAGTTGTCTTCTAAATTTCTTGGCATAGATGAGTACTTCCTGTGAGTGCTTCATCAGTTTGTTGAATGGTTTCTATTTGTATCCTATAATTCCCAGAGCTTTGTTCTTTGCCAATGCTCTCAATGTACCTTGGGCGTCTTCCTTTAGTATCATTGGCTCTTGATTATATGCTACCTCTCCATATAGATGAACATTAACCATTTCTTTTTGGTACAGTGATTCTGTGTATTTCTCCCGTCTTCTTTTGATGCTTTCTGCATCATTCAGTATTTTTCCCATAGAGTCTTTCAGTAGTGTAAATCGAGGCTTGATTTTTTTTCTTCAGTTCCCTCAGCTTGAGAAATGTTGAGTGTGTTCTTTCCTTTTGGTTTTCTAACTGCAGATCTTTGCACTTTTTGATGTAATATTTGACTATGTCTTCTCGAGCTGATGTTTGAAATTTTCTGTTCAGTTCTTTTATCTCCTCATTTCTTCCATGTGCTTTAGCATCTTTATTCTGGAGAATAAATTTCATTTTGGTCTTTTCCTTCTTTCTTTTTTTCTTAATGACCTTTTGTTTTCTTCCTATATAATGTTCTTGATGTCATCCCACAACTCTTCTGGTCTTCGGTCATACTGAAGAAGTTAGTAGAATTCTACAATTTCATCATCACTGGTTTTAGCAGTTGGACCTCACCAGATAGAATACACAGAAATCAAGTTGACTACCTCTGGGAAAGACACAGTGGAAAAGCTCCATATCGTCCGTAAGAACAAAGCCAGATTATTTGTTCAGATAAAGATACAAGTTCAGGCTGAAGCTGAAGAAAAGTAAAACAAGTCCATGAGAGAAAGCATTGAACCTTGAATATATCCCAGCTAAATTTGAGATTATCTGTAGCATTATTCAAATTTACACACCTACAACTGAAGCCATCTGAACAACAGATTTGATGCCTTAGACACCAAGGACAGAAGACTAGAAGTGTTGTGTCATGACATCAAGAACATCATACTGGTAGAGTTCTTCAATTCCACTGGCTTCACTTGTTGGTATGTAAATTTGAATAATAGTGGTATTAACTGGTCTTCTTGTATTAGTATACTTCCTCATAGTATGGATATTATCCTATCATCGATAGTATTGTATTTCAAGATAGATCTTGAAATGTTCTTTTTGATGATGAATGTGACACCATTCCTCTTCAAATTGTCATTCCTGGCATAAATTATGTGATTATCAGATTCAAAATGGCCAATATCAGTCCATTTCAATTCACTAACGCCTAAGATATTGATGCTTATGTGTTCCATTTAATATTTGACAACTTCCAATTTTCCTGGATTCATACTTTGTACATTCCATGGTCCAATCATTAATGGATGTTTCCATCTCTTTCCATTCATTTTGAGTTATGCCCCATTAGCAAATGAAGATTCTGAAAGCTTTACTCCATTCTCATCATCACAGTCAACTCTACTTTGAGGAATCAGCTATTCCCCAGTTGTATTTTGAGTGCCTTTCAACTTGAGAATGCTCATCTTCTGGCTTGATATCTGAAAATATTCCAGTGCTATTCATTATGTTTTAGTATTCAGTATTTTGGTGCCATTCTACAGTGTTTCACTGCTATCCATACAGTTTTCAGTGGCTAGGATGTAGTCCCTTTTTCCTTTGTTCTAGTTTGTCTTAGTCTGGAAGCTCAACTTAAACTTGTCTATCATTTGTGATCCTGCTGGAATTCAAAATACCAGTGCTATAACTGCTAACACCACAGTAACATGCAAGCCAGCACAGTATGAGAGACTGACAGATTTGTGGATGTGAAGCCTTAGAAGGAATTAAAGCAACAAAAAGCCATAACTCTTGGACTTTATTTTGAGAAACTCTAACAGAATGGGTTGACCTCAAAGAAATACATTCCCAGGAAGCTCATCTTCTTTTTCTCATCCCCAATTGGCACTCCAGAATAACCATCAAGTGCAGTGGTAGCTATCTTGTTCTGTCACTGTTATTACTTGAAGGCTGTGTTTGTGTGGGAATCCTGGTGTAGCACTGTGGGTTAATGCACTGGACTGCAAGGTTGGTTTGAACTGCAAGGTTCCTATATAGGGTTGCTATAAGTCACAATTGACTCCATGGCACTTTAACAACAACAACATGCTTGGGTGAGAAGCCTAAACAGATCAGTGATATCATCACCTCATAAATACTTGTGGCAGGCTAAGGGGCATAATGCTCCTTTAGAGGCTTTGGTGTCCAGATGACAGAAAGAACATCTGTTTCCTCTGCTCACATTAAGGACTTAAGCCCTCTTCATATTGACGAGCTTCCATAAACAAAAGCTGAGATTACTGGATGTTCCCACAAAAATTGTTTGTGTAACTGTAAGGCATCTGTTTAAAGGGGAGTTCTTGAAGTTTGCGAATGGCATGAAAAATGTTCCGTTTTGAGGCCTGGGGGCCAGAGGGCCAGGGCAGA